ATGGTCCCGGCCACATTTATTGGCAAAATGATTTCCCCTTTGGTGGTTTCACTTGCCATGTTGAATCCGTTAAGTACTTGAGCTGCGGGCACAATTTGATCTTGGAAGCCGAGTTGCTCTACGACCCTTGATCGAATAATGTTTGCCGAGCTACCTGGATCAATCAACACACGTTTAACTTTAATTTTATTCATAAGGATATATATTACTAGTGCATCGTTTTGAGGTTGTTCGATCCCTTCTGCATCTTTGTTGTTGAAAGATAAGGTCTCTTCCGGTAAGTAGTCCTGAGTCCGTTTTTCTATTGTGATTGTCACTTTGGTGCGTTTGAATACCGGCCCTTGAGGAATATCGACCCCTCCAACGATCATGTGAATCACGTGTTGTGGATCTTCTTGCTCGTTCTGTTTGTTTGAGTGTCCATTTTTGAAGTGGTTCTTGGCCCGATCACTTAAGAATTCTCGAAGGTGTCCCTCGTTGAACAACCAGCTACTTCCTCCCTTCGTTGTCTGCAATCTTCTATTTTATGGCCATGGGTGCCATGATACTTGCATATTTGGTTTGGGTTTCTTTGGGTCGGATAGGTCTGCAGAGGCCGAGGCCACCTGGTATCTTTGATACGCTAGTAGCCGATACTATGGCAGAAGCATCTATGCTGAAGTTATATTCTGACACCCGAGGCGCTTCTTTGGACCCGACATCCCTATCGAAACCACTCTTAATCATGAGCCCTCAGGAATTTTGTCTCTGTTCATTCCTTCTATCATTCCGAATGGGATTGTGTCCAGACCTGCTATTTCACCGATCTCTACCATATGGCTAATATTGGTCTCTGTTCGATCGTGGTTCCCGACCGACGTCCCTTTTAGCTCTGTCCATGGGCCTGTTGGGATAAATTGAACCAATTGGAGCCCCCAGTTGATCGTATTCAACCCTAATCTTCGACTGATATCGATTATGTACATCAGACCAAGTGATGGCTAGATATTCGATCAAATTCTGCTTTAATTGTTGGGAAGCTATGGAACTCCGTTCGTTGAGACCTTGAGTGAAGGTTTGAACTATCCAATCGTCGGTGACCGGTGGCAAATCCATCTAGTTGCATCCTTAATGGCTCTAGTGTGCGCCTTTACAAAGAAATCTGCAAGCATAGCAAATGAATCAATAGAGTTAGGTGGTAAATTATGATACCATATCATAGCACCCTTTGATAGGTTTCTCTGAATTTCTTCAGCAACACGGATTCAATCTCATTATCTTTCAAGTCATTTCCCTTAATGGCGCACATATAAGAGGTGGCGTGTTTGTTTGGATCTGTCGTTTTGTTATACTTTGGAATCTCAGGCATATAGAACTTCTTCGGGATTGGCTTCGGAGCCACACTTGGGGGGAAAGGTTTTTGGATAAACTTTTTGGAATCAAGTTACCGGTGGTGCCCCTGGGATTTGGTCGACCCTGGAGTTATAAGTTTCCACCTTCTTATCATTTTCCTCGATCTTCTTTTCCCCTATCTCGATCCGCTTCATCAATTCCTCGAGCATTTTTACGATAGCGGGATTAGCCTCCGATTCTCCTTCATTCGATCTCTTTGGCACTAATTCGGCTCTATGAACAACTTCTTGTGATGGCTCGAGCTCTATCCTACTTGGGGCACGATTCTGATTCTGGAGTTGTGCTATTGCAGCTTGTTGAGTCTGTAACATCTCGAATATCATTTAAAGGCTAATTACTGCTCTGTGTATTCTGATCGGCTGTTCGAGCGTCTCTGCTGATACTATTTTCAGGGTCGACGTACAAATTTCCATTAATGGCAATATGGGAGCTGACATCGACTAGGTCTATGGCCGGTGGTCCATCGGGGTTGACTGGAGGCACTCCGTTTCCCGAGGCAGCTATGTTTTCTTTCTCACCATAAAGACCAAGGTCGTTGTCTGTGTGTTGGGTGCTACTTGGAAGTTTGACATGTTGATCCTAAAACCAAAGACACTTCAAAGAACAAGCGTAAAATAATATGTGTTACAAAAATTATACCAGGCAATCACTATTATCTTTAACCCCACGGTGGGTGCCAAACTATTTACCCTTAAATCGGATAACAATTAAACTTATAAGTAGTTTTAAGGATATGTGATTTCACTTGGAACAAACTGATAAACAGAAGAGTTAATGCCAGGAATTAACAATAAAATAAAACAAACCAGTGTGATGAACAATTACAGCCCTTCAACTAATTGCCCTCGAACCGACTGAACAAGTTATTAAGAGTATAAATAGGACAATAGAACTTGCAAGAAATAAAGTGTGATATACTGCTTTGATATGTGTGAATGTGAGATCCTTACAAATGGTTAATACCCTTTTTATATAGTAGATGAATCCTATTTACGGTATAATTCTAATTACAGAAGGAAATCTCATGATTAGCTAAACAACCGCCATAGATTTGATCTGTTCCGAGATTTCCGCCATTGTCATCGGCCAGTCACGGATATCTCGCTTTTCCGTTATCATGCTGTCTTTGGTTTTGTTCGATGTCTATCCCGTTCGATCTCGATCATTACTGGTCTCGACCTCGACAGGTACCTTGAACCCTGAACTCGGTACCTTATCCTCGTATCTCGGTCTGTCAAGCCGTGGGGCTGATCCTCGATCCATCCACCTAGTCTTGGTTAATTAGTAAAATCAGGTGGGCCCGATTTTAACCTTATACAATACAAATATTAATGATTTATTTTGAATCATAAATTTTAAAAGTCTTTTTTCCTAAAGTTCCGTGACAAATAAAATACCGCTATATAAATTGAGACACAGGGAATACTAATATTTTTGACGCAAATTTGCTTGACAATTAGTATCTTTCTATATTCAAATAGACGATTTCAATACCGATATCGGCAAATGGAGCGGATAAAATAAAAGAAATTTGAATTATATTTTCTCCCACTAGGCCACAACGCATAGGCATAGCCAACAGCTAATTGGTACTTTAGTGGATGAAAATGCATACGCAGCCATCAAAGATGGAGATCTGCTGCAAAATATCTTTTATTTGCAAAAACTTCACGTGATACGAATTACTGTGGCGCCTACGTGCTCATCTAAAATATCTTTCTTTTACTTTGACCCAAGGTCTAAAATATCTTTGGAGCTATAACTACTCACGTTAACCCGAGTTAGACATCAAAGTCCATCCTTATAGGAGTAATTCACAGACGGCATATGTAGCTATTCCCATCGTAATTTACGGACGTTTTTCCAGTCCACCGGCCCTAATTTTGTGGTAAAAATAGCACGAGCTAGCCAGTTTTGGATTGATTATTTAAAAAATATTCAGTATTTGCAAAATCATTAAAAAATAGTTATTATTTTGTTGCAATACGAAAAATTTCAGCATAATATACTGGAGATCGATGCACATGTGTATTAACTTCTAGCATATTATGCTGGAAGTCAACCACGAAGAAAGTTCAAGTATAATATACTGGAGATCGGATCATCGATGCTCTAATCTCCAGTATATTATACTAGACCGGTATATTATACTGAAACTCCAGTATATTATACTGTTGTTCCAACATAAGTATACTAGAAACTGGAGCTCCAGTATATTATACTGTATTATTTTTCGGATTTTAAACAGTGTTTTTGTTCAGATTTATCTTTATATGAAAAGTGGCTAAATTTCAATTACTTTTAAAACTGTAACTATTTTTGAATGGCCTTTAATAAATCTGACTATTTTTGAATTTCTCCCAATTTTGTGTGATTCGTTTAGCATTTAATTGCTCCCCTTTTCTGGGATCAAATTTTTAGTGAATCTAAAGTAGTAGTAGTATATGCACATTACCCAATTAACTACTCCTTTCGTCTCGTATTAATAGTCATGATTACTAAAAATAGTTGTCTCAAATTATTTGTTATTTTAGAAGTTCAAAACAAAATTAATTATTTTTTTCCTTTTTTATCCTTAGTAATAATTGTTCTTCAAGGTAGAGCTAACATATAAACAGAATAAATATTTAATGAACAGAAATTATATCTTAAGACATACACAAGGGTAGAATAGTCCAATCCCTTTCCTAATTAATATGTTTTAAGAAGCGCATAAAAGAGAAACATGACATATAATATAAGACGGATGGAGTATTTTAAATCATGATTGGTATTTTAGAGCATAGAAACAAATTATGGCATAAATGAGCATAGAGAACCTGGAAATATTAATTACATATTTTTGTCAACCAACAAAGGAAAAATTGCAGTTTCGTCCATATTTGGAAATGTTATAAAATAAAGACTTTAAAGTAAAAAAATTGAAGACAAGTAAAGAGAGAGAAATATTTATTATTCAACTTCAAATTCACGTACATAATGAACTGAAATCTCCTCTTTTATAGAAGAATGGAAGCTGCTTGTAAGTTGCTACTGCAAGCTGCTGTGTAAGCTTCTTGTAAGTTGCTTATAAGCTGTTACTGTACCAGATATAGATAATCTTCTGCCGGGGTAATATTTATCTATAACGGAGTACCGAAATGATAAGATTCTTCAGGAAGCTTATTTCCAATATAGTACTAAATAGATAATCATATTTACAGCGGAGTCCCATATGGATAAGTTTCTTCAGAAAACTTATTTGCAACGGAGTACTAAATGAATATCGATAATATAATATATATTTATAACATGAAAGAGTTTCTTGGAAATATTCATAAACATCGGTTTTAGATATTTATAGCTATTTTAGAAATTTGATAGTATTTTTATGGGAAGAAAAAATTTTCCCAACGCGTGAAAAAAGAGTTTCTCAAGTCTCAACGCGTCTTCAACGACGGCAAAGAAAAAGAAATCGCGTTGAATAACTTTTACTTTTGCAAGAAATTCGGAAAAAACAAGAGCCGAAACCAGACCTCTAACCCAAGTTGAATAGAGTGCTAAATTAACTCAACCGCCCTGCTTAACCCTAGCATCCTCCTCCTCCCTATAAATATATAGCCTTTCCTCATATTTTTCCTCATCCCTTTCTCCTCCGTTGTCATCTCTCTCTATAATTTAAAAAAAAATCAATGGCTGAAGTTGAATACCGGTGCTTCGTCGGTGGGCTCGCATGGGCTACCACTGATCGAACCCTAGGTGAAGCTTTCTCTCAGTACGGCGAGGTTCTTGAATCGAAGGTCCGTTTGTCGGTCGCAGAGCAGAGATCGGAATCCGAGCCGTGATTTGGCTTCGTTTACCCCTCTGTTACTGTTGATTCATCTGTTACTGTTACTATGTCTCTCTCTGTTACTGTTGCTTCATCTGTTACTGTTACTATTTGATACTATTATTCGTTCTCTCTTAACGGTACGTTCCGTCTTACTTCTCTTCTTAAAAAAGAGATGAAGATAGATCGGTTATTTCTATTTTTTGGTCCAGTTTGATTGGAATGAATGTTAGTTTCCGAGCAAGCTCGGACATAGTCCTTTTGCTTTGTTTTTTCCTGTGACAAGTGTGGATCTGGCAGATCTGATGTTTTTGTTGTGGATTTTGATTTTACAGATAATCAATGACCGTGAAACCGGTAGATCTAGAGGATTTGGCTTTGTTACCTTCGGTGATGAGAAATCCATGAGGGACGCTATCGAAGGGATGAACGGCCAAGACCTTGACGGTCGTAACATCACCGTTAACGAAGCTCAATCACGCGGAAGCGGCGGCGGCGGCGGCGGCGGTGGTTTCCGCGGTGGACGTCGTGAAGGAGGCGGCGGATACGGAGGTGGAGGATATGGAGGTGGAAGACGCGAGGGCGGCGGTGGTGGTTACGGCGGCGGCGGTTATGGTGGTGGCCGTGACCGTGGATATGGCGGTGGTGACCGTGGATACGGTGGTGATGGCGGATCACGCTACTCAAGGGGTGGTGGTGACTCTGATGGAAACTGGAGGAATTAGATAATTGAGAAGATGTGGATTTTAGTTATTTTGATCGCATTTTAAGTTGGGTATATCTTAATGTTAAGTGTGACTGTCTTTTTTGACCGTTATTGGCTCGTTACTTTACTGTGTTTTTCTGTTTACAGAGTTCTTATGGAATGAATTAAATGAAGTCTACAAATTAAATCTTTCTTTTGCATCTAAATTTTTAACTAAGTTTGCTATGCAATTTTTCAATGCTTACAGTGCTATCTGCATATTTATTGGTGGCTATACACTTCTCTGTATTCGTTCTTGTCAAATTAATTCTGTGTCTATCCATCGAGTGGTTTCAGAGTTATATTTACTTAATTAAGCAATGCTGGAACAAACTCATTGTATACAATAATCTGAAATAGCTAAACTAGGCTGCTAGCAACTCCTGATCTATTGAACACGTCATTCCTGAATATGTTTGTTTGTTACTAAAACAAGTGCCGGGAATTATTCAACATTTCTAAATTAATTAAAATCAAAATGTTTAACTATTTTTTGATAAATCATGGATGGATTATTCATAATATTTTCAATAAAATGAATTCTTGCATCATTTAAACCGTTGGATATTACCTGCGCGATTCATAAGGTAGGTAGCAATGTGTCATAGATGAATTTTGAATTTACACTTCGTTTCCTCCGTTGTTCTTTGGTGATTGTGTGGCAGTGAATCTTTACGTCTTGTTATCTTACGATTCATGGTTTCACTTTTTGTTAAATGGCTGTTCACTAGAGTACTTTCTAATTGTGCGTTTCCTAAGACGTGTTTCTGCCCAGTCGGTAGGCTTGATGAGCATTCTGTAGGTGGGGCATCTCAGATCTCTCGATTGGATGATGTTGCTTTATTGGTTTAATTCTAATTTTCAACAATACTATATAATTTGTGCCTTATCGGATTCCATTGATAAAATACAGTTCTTGACTCGCTGATTTCTCTTAAAGAATTACAGCTCTTGAATGAGAAAATGATGAAGGGGTTAACCTAAATCCAGGGGTTAACCTAAATCCAAGTCGTGCCAATTCGTTTTCCCATCCCCACCAACTAGACTGTTTCCTGGATTCGCAAATACTGTAAAGCACTTGAATCATGAATTGGCCCAAAAATCCTCTCAGTTCATCAGTCACAAAATCTCATCAAGGCCCCAATCTTGAAATTGCAATTGGACAATGTATCAGTGTAATCACACTCATTTTCCAAGATATACACTGATATAAAAGTTATATAAGAGATCACGGTTATACATAGAAAATATACACTAACATACAAGGGGTTATACACTAATATATTGAGGATATATACGAATATACATGGAAGATGGAATGTCTTCAATATCGAGTTTCCAATATGAAGATTACTAAAAGTCAATACTCTGTCTTAAATCATCTCCAAAGACATTCAAAATTTACATTCAAGCACCTTAAGATGTTTCCAATAAATCCCGATATCACACAAATCACAACTGCCAATAAAGCCCGATATTACACAAGTCACAACTGAAACAAATCCCAACTGGATAGAACTGAAAAATTCAAACCAAACTTTTGTCTTTACCAATTGGAAATTTCCAGGTTACTAGGAGGTTGACTTGCAGCACATTATGAATTTCAATGGATTATGTTGAAATTTCCAATGTAAAAATTTCGAACTCTTAACGTATTATGCTGAGTTACTTTTTTATTTTAACTAAGAATATTTTTATTCAAATTTTATTTTCGCATGAAAAATAAATAACTATTGATTAATTTTAGAACTATGATTAATTCTCCATTTAACAGTTATAAATCAGGCTAATAATTTCACATTTAGTGCCAATTATCCTACTAATTTCTTGAAGTTCATATACACGGGTTGAAAGTCCAATCTTATCCAAAAAGGCATGTTATTGAACCATTCTACTAAGCAAAACACAAACTTAGCTGGTCGGTTGAAATTAATTGAATTTGTTAGCTAAATAATATATATTTTATCAGCTATTATTTTTGGAAGCGACTAAAAATGTACTCCATCTGTTTCAATTTAAATAATGTAGTTTGACTTGACACAAAGTTTAAGAAAAAGAAAGAAGACCGTTGAAATATGTGATTCGTGGTAGCAAACTGATTAAAAGAAAACAGTTATCCACCCATATTATCCACTAAAAAATGAGTTGAATAATGAATTTTTTAAAAACGGGTCAAATATAGATAAGAACCATATATCCATTTAGAAAATGGATAACCAATGGATAACTAATGTGTTTAACATTTACATTTTAAAGCCTCAAATTGGGGATTCCTCAAGTTTGAGAGACTAAATATTCTCCCAAAAGTGATCATATTCAAGAGCTCATAGATAATATAAATATCCATATTATCCGCTGGTTAATCCGTTTTTTATCCTTATTAAATATAAGTTGGATAATTTATCCGTTTTTGATTTACCCGTTTTCGATCCGACCCATCCCACCCGACGCCTCCCTTTCCTACCCCTATATGTGATCCTAACAGCTTAAAGGATAAAGTTTTGTCGGGCCATGATATTTGTGTGGCTATAAAAATTTCTCATTCAAAGTAAAATGGAAAAAATAAAAAGTTTAAAATTAAATTATTTTCAAATATAAAAATATATCATTATTTTTTGAACGGACTAATAAGGAAAATGTGTCATTTTAAATTGAAATAGAGGGAGTACATTTCTCATTTTATTATGCTAGGGGTTTTTCATTTGTACATAACCAAGCAACACAGAGAGCGGTGCATATATTTAAATAATTTTATCTTATTTGATACCTTTCTTTTAAACTTGAATTGCTTTTTATTTGATTTGATTTAATTCCTTTGTCAGATCAATGCCTAAATTTATGACTTGTTTACATATATGATTTGTTTTATCAATGGCTGTTACTGAGATTTCCAGATAACATTAGCAAACGTTTTGCATATTAAAGCTCAATAATATAGTTGTAAAGAGAATATGCATCTCCAGTCTCTTATTCACAAGCCATACGGCCAGATACAAATTGTATCTACAACTCTTCACTATGAATTATATGTTTAGTAATTATTTCACTAAGAAAATTTTCTATCCCCCGTAATGCTCACAGACTCGGTCAATTTCAATTATAGTGTGACGATCTGACTGGTCATTTTGAGCATTGACATTTCGTTTGATGGTTTGAGGTCTTGAGTAGCTTCATATGATGTATTACGACTAGCATGCATGATTGGTTTTGATTTTCATGAAGTTCGGGAGTAATTCTCAATTTGGAAGCATTAAGTTAAAGAGTTGGCTAAAGTTTGACTTTTGTGCAAATAATGTCGGAATGGTATTTTGATGGTTCCAATAGTTCGTATGGTAATTTTGGACCTAGACGTATGTCCGAATTTGGATTTGGAGCTTCCTAGGTTGATTTGGCTCCATTTGGGAAAAAATGAAAAGTTAAAGGGTTGGATGGTTCATAAGTTTGACCGGGAGTTGACTGTGAGGCTATCGGGGTCATAGGAGGAGCAGAAGAGATTGGAGAGGTTCAAGAAGTATTTTCCTCCTACTTTAAGCAGCGCAACTTCTGAGGATGCACATAGTTTTCTAGATCAGTGTTACCGCATTCTACACACTATGGGCATTGTGGAATTGTGCAGGGTGGCTCTTACTACTTTCTAGCTAACGGGGTCGACATATAGATGGTCGCAGGTTTGTGAGGAGAGTAGGCCAGTTGGCGCAGCGCCATTTACTTGGGTTTAGTTCACTGAGCTATTTTTGAGGGAGTTTGTTCCACAGATCCTCAAGGATGCATTGTGCACCGAAATCGAGTAGTTGCACCAGGGGTCAATGATTGTGTCTGAGTATGCTATGTGGTTTGCAGAGCTATATTGTCATACACCTGCAACCTTTTCCACTGTTAGAGAGAGGGTCCGCAGATTTATTGAGGGACTTGGTTATGGTCTCAAACTTGGGATGGCATTGGAGTTGGAGACTAATACTCCACTTCATCAGGTTGTGGAGGTCACTAGGAGGATGGAGCTCCTCCACGGTCTAGAGAGAGAGAGGATAGGGAGGCTAAGAAGTCTCATGGACCGGGAGGATATACTGATCCCTATTTTGGGGGCAGGCACAATATGGTAGAGGTTTTGTTGGTCAACCAGTTCAGTCCGTACTTTAGGTTTTACATGGTTCTCAAATTATCCATGGGTCCCAGTGCACTCGTTCAGGACAACTCCCACAGCCATATCAGCAGAGTGGTTGCTTTGAGTGTGGGGATATTATGCACATGGTGAGAGATTGTCCCAGACTCCGGACAGGGGTACCTTATCGGAGTACTCAAGCTATGGTCCCACTTCAGTTGCTGCTACACCTGCACAACTAGCTAGAGATGTGTGGTAGGCAAATAGAGGGCGTCATAGAGGGGGAGGCCAGACTCGTTGTTATACTTTCCCTGGCAGGGATGAGGCTGCTGCACCAGATGATGTTGCTAAAGTTATGGTTCCGGTTTGTCATAGAGATGCATCAGTTTTATTTAATTCGGTGTCGTACTATTCTGCTCCATGTTTGGATATACCTCGTATTTCTTGAGTATCCTATGTTTATGTGTCTACTTCCGTTGTGGGATTCTATTGTGGTATCCCGTGTCTATAGTTCTTGTTTGGTCACTATTGGGGGTTTTGAGACTAGTATTGACCCACTATTATGCAAAATAGTGGGTTTTGGATGTGAGTTGGGATGGGTTGGTCACGACTTACGGTTAAGGTGCTCTACATGCACGAGGAATCTGTTGCGTGTTGTGGTTTTATTCTACGAGATAGAGTTAGTGAAAGGTTTTTTGTTGATCGGATGTTTATCTTACTTGTGATTCGAGTTGAGGATAGGATCTTTGTATTTTCAGATGGATCGATATGTTTGGACCGGGCGACGTGCCGTTGTGGGGTTATGTTATGATGAGATTCGTTGTGGTTGTTGCATATGTTTTTCTTCTTCCTTGTGGTATGGATTCATAGTATGGTACTGATAGGGAGTTGTACCTATTGGACTTGTTGGATAGTTCTCTCATGTGTTTTTTTTTCCATCTTCAGTTATATTCGAATTGTGCTTGTTGGGTACGAATGACGACGTATGTGTCTAGGTGGGGTTTGGTATTTCCTATTTGTCGGGTGAGTGGTTATGAGTTTTCACGTGTTTCTTACATCA